TCTTAAACATGATAGGTTCAGAGACAATTTGATCAAACATGCTGCCATCACCTTTAGCGAGGTGAACGATAGGTCTCTGAAATTTATAACCGCTGAGGAATACGCCCTGGCGCAAAACCCACCCACTTTTAAGAACCAGAACCTAGAATGGAGAGATGACAATCCGAGCCGAAAAAGGATGAGGATGGCGCAGAACCGAGGTCCGATGTTGACCTCCCATCGAGATTCGGAAGGCCGAACTCAACACCTCCGCAACCATCTGCAGGTAAACCTCCAGTTAATTGGACTTCCTTTAATCTGCCGAGGTCACAAATTTTTTTGCAGATCAAGAATAAGATGGATTTAAGGCATCCTGGCCCAATGAAAACTGCTGTTGCTAGCCGAGACCATACCAGATATTGTGATTTTCATCAAGATCACGGCCATACTACAGACCAATGCAACAGCTTAAAGTCCAAACAGGAAAGTCTAGCCTAGAAGGGAATGCTAAATGAGTACGTTCAGAGAGTTGCACAGCCACGGTTTGTTAGAGAACAAGGGCCACAGCCTCAAGGAGCCCGCAACCCACCAAACAGGCAAGGTGTGGGATATCAGCACAACCCACCTCAGCTCCCACCACCAGCTAGAATCATACACATGATCACGGAAGGTCTGGAAGCAGGTGGACTAAGCTCTAAACAGCGAAAGTTGTATGTTAGAGAGGTTAAGCATCAGAACCGAGCTGAGAAACGAAAGTTTGACGATGCTGAGTGGAAGAATCAACCCATTACTTTCACATCTGTTGATCTTGATGCAGTTGTTACACCCCACAATGATCCCTTGGTCACCTCTGTCATGATTAACAATTGTGAAGTACAGCGTGTCCTTGTCGACACCGGGAGTGCACCAGACATCATGTACTTCCACTGTTTTGAGAGTCTTGGGCTGGATCCGGCATTGTTGCAGAAATATGATGGTCCCATCTATGGTTTTAACAACCAACCTGTTTCGGTAGAAGGAGTTCTTACCCTCCATGTGGCTTTTGGGAGTGGCCGGACCTATGTAACCCCTTCAGTCCGGTTCCTCGTCGTCAAGATGGCGTCCTCTTTCAACATTGTTATTGGCCGACCCACATTGACTAAAATCCGAGCTGTGGTTTCCCAATCTCACCTCTGCATGAAGTTCCCAACTCCTATGGGAATAGCAACATTGCGTGGAAACTAGGAGGTGGCCAGACATTGTTATATCACCTCGGTAACACAACCTATGAAGGGCAAAGATAGGACACCCAAGGCCATTCCCCAACAAATTTCTGATAATCAGCAAGTTATGGGTGTTGAGATCGTAGATAATCGACCGGAAGATGAAACTAAAGCTGCTCCGATCGAAGATGTTGAAGAGGTGCTCATTGATGACAGAGATCTGAGCCGAAAGACACAGATTGGAACTAGATTGAACCTAGAGGAAAAAGCAGAGCTAATAGCTTTCCTCTAAGCTAATAATGATGTATTCGCATGAATTTCGGCAGACATGCCAGGAATTCCAAATTTAGTGTCTCAACATAAGCTCAGCACTAATCCATTGAAGAAACCAGTGGCCCAGAAGCGGCGTCTCTTCGGGGGTGAAAGGCTTCAGGCTATTAAAGAAGAGGTAGATAAGCTTCTACAAGCTGGTTTTGTCAGGAAAGTTGATTACTGCGAATGGGTGGCTAACTCAGTCCTGGTGAAGAAGGCAAATGGTAAATGGCGAATGTGCATTGATTACACAAATCTTAACCAAGCCTGCCCCAAGGATTGCTATCCGATGCCGAGCATTGATAAATTAGTTGAAGCGGCTTCAGGCAATGAGAGGTTAAGCCTCTTGGATTCATATTCTGGGTATCACCAGGTGCCGATGGCTCCCGAAGATGAAGAGAAAACCTCGTTCTATGCTGGCAACGAAATCTATTGCTATGTCATGATGCCGTTTGGCTTAAAGAACGCTGGTGCTACTTATCAGAAAATGGTAACCATTGTCTTCCTAGCTCAGATCGACAAGAATCTGGAGATGTATGTCGATGACATTGTGGTAAAGAGCCTGAAAGCAGAAAACCATCTAGCTGACCTCGACGAAACCTTTAACAACCTCAGAGAGAACAGGATGCGGTTAAACCCAGCCAAATGCATCTTCGAAGTGGAGTCTAGAAAGTTTCTAGGTTTCATGGTGTCCCGAAGAGGGATTGAAGTCAATCCAGAGAAGATCAGAGCAATTGCCGAGATGGAACCGTCGAAATCAGTAAAAGATATACAGAGGTTGACTGGAAGGGTGGTAGCTCTTCATCGGTTCATATCGAAGTCAGCAGATAAGTGCCTGCCATTCTTCAAGATTATGAGGTCAGCGGCCCAGAAGGATGAATCAGGAAAACAGAAGAA